TGACAGTATAATAAGATTTTTACGAATTTGCAAATTTTTAAAATTTGGAAGAGGAAAAATTGGAATTAGTTCAATATATTCGCGCGAATTGATTTTAACTTTGTGTATTTTGTCATTAATACCACAGACAATATCTAAATATTTGAATATGTTGTTTTGTGATTTTTATTTTAAACTGACGCTATAGAGAGCCATTTTATGATTATTATATCACTGTACCTGTTGTACCAGTGTTTATTTGGATTTGTTTTTAATTCTTCTATATTATGCAGACATCCTATGAAATGTTCATGTTGTAAGCAAAGTGTATAGGCAAAGTGGGAATGACCGCCCATCGCTTCCTTTCTTATTTTATCTTTATTAAATATTTTATGTTTCTGTTGAATGTGTTTTCTCATAATGCATAATTCCACAGGTTTAAATAGCTGGTGATGCTTTTAATTTTTGTTTTTTTTTGTTATAATGTAACGTAAAGGTGCGTATAGATAATAAGGTTCCGAGTCCAGACCGTGCCTGGACCAACAATGGGCCCAGGTTCGTCCATAGAGGTATAATACTACAGTACAGTTCATCAAATTTCTAGAGGTGTTCGACGCCCAGACAGAGAACGCGCTACGTGTGACTAAGATAGCTATTGTACAGTCTGCTAAACAAGTTATTTTAAATAGTTTTTAATATTTTTAGGTAATTAAATTTTAAAAGTGTGGAATAGTTTATGGATTAAATTGGTCTGATTGGACTTTCTTAGAACGTTTTTAAAAGCAGCTACAGATAGTATGTAGAATTGAAAATAATTATTATGCCATAAAAGGTGTTTTGGAATTCCTTCAACCTTTTGAAATTGAGTCAGAAAATATAAATTTTATAGGATAGCGGAAAATACCTATAATTTTTTTTGTATGCCTTTGTAAATCGTGGAAATAGTTTATATTTTATTTCTACCTTATTAAGGAAAATGGTACCTATTATTAATAACGGTTGTTTCTGAAACATTACTAAAACTTTCGAAATTTTGTTTTTCTACAAAATAATAAACTATACTATTTAGAAAAAAATTTATTTCTCTTATAATTTTATAAAAAATAACAGGGGAATATTTACATTTCTTGATCTATTAAACAAAACGATAAATTATCTCGACGAATGACACCATGTTCTAGTACGGAAGCTAGCTTTACATTTTTGTTGGTGGTTTCATGGGTTTCATATCAATTTTTTGTAATTGTAGTTTACACGTACATATACCTCTTAATACTTGTTTGCTTTATTAAAAAAGTGTGTTGTTGTGATTTACGTCGAAATAAGTCAAAAACAACTTGAAACCCCATATAAAATCAAAAAGGAGAAACGGAAAAAAATTGAGCCTGTAAATGAACACAACTCAGAAACAAAAATAGCTATCTAATAATAAAAAAATAAAATTTGATTCTTGTGCATCTTCGTTGTAAAAATAGATAATACTTTTTTGATCTTAGGTACAGATATAATTTTAATGGTCTTCCGAAAAACTTTCTTCAGTTTCCATATCAGATTCAAAATCAGTCTCACTGTCACTGTTTAAGTTAATTATAAATCTATCAGTTGCCTCATCCAAAGTAACTTTTCTGTCATAAAATTTAGATTCCCACATTTTAGCATTATTACAACGAGATTGCCACTCCTCTTGAGAAAACGTATCAAAAAAGTCTTCACACAACAGTTGTACGTCTTGCCTCTTAAATGTAGTGTTGTTACTAGCTACATATTGTTTCAATGATGCCCACACTAATTCGATCGGATTAAGATCGGGATGATACGGTGGCAAACGCAAACAACTAAAACCATGTTCATTTATCATTTCTTCAATTGCATACCTCTTAAATCGTGACTTATGCAATAGCACTAAACTGTATAATTGCGTTTTGAGCATATCCTCTTCGTAAGCAATATTATGATTCCTTAACCAATCCTACATGTCAGCTTTTTTAGAAGTTGACGTTGGTGCTTTATTTACCTGGACATTATGGTAAGGAGCATTATCAACAATAATGACGCTTCTTGGAGGGAGGTTCGGAAACAGCTTTTCTTTCAACCATTTAGAAAAATTGTTAAAATTCATTTCATCCACTTTTGGTTCCAGATTTGAAAATTAACCGGGCATTCGGAATAAAGCCCATTTCACCTCCTGCATGGACAATAATTAGTCTATCACCTTTATTAATTGGTTTCTTTAATCCCTCATTTGAATTATCACTCCAAGCTTTCTGGTGTGTGTGGGAGGCATGAATGTATGTTTCATCTAAGTAGACAATTGGACGGCCCTCTGCTCGATAACTTTTTAAACGAATCAGATAGTCTAAACGTAGCTTTTGAATATCAAACCTTTCCATTAATATTTTTCTGTTTGTTTTTGTTTTCCGCCAACGAAATCCTAGCGACTTTATTATTTTTCTTAAACTTTCATAGCTTTCTTTGTACCCTGTAGCTTCTCTAAATTTAGTCAGAATTGTTTTTAATGTTGGAACAATATTTTCCGAGATTAACATGAACAGAATAATTCTTTTTAAAATACCTTTGTCAGCTTCATCTATATCATTAACTGTTTTTGGTTTTTTAATGGTTTTTCTTGGTGATGAAAATTCCGATATCTCACGGTTATCGATTCTTTTTTTCTCTCCAGAAATGCGGACGACAGTGTTTTTAGATACTCCTGTGGCTGCAGCAACACGATCATTTACATTTTTAAATGGTATTGAAGGTGAATTAAAGTTTCCTTCTCTTCTCATAAACTCTATAACATTGGCTATTATTTCGCGAGATTGACTGTTAATCACGCGGCCTCTTAATTTGCTATTAAACTCCATACTTAGGTTCTATTAAACTGTAATGAGCAAAAAACTCAAACGAAAATAAAAAATGTTTTAGCGAAATTTACATCTGACATTTACGTCTGAATAAAATAGTGAAATACTTGATGCGCAGAGTGTACTTTCATTGCGTAAATCCGTCGGCCCCGCCAACCGATGCCTCTCAGTACTGCTTTCTCTGTCTAGCCGTCGAAAGCCTCTAGAAATTTGATGAACTGTAATGGAGATGCCATGAGGCAATTGTTTCCCATAAGATACGTGTTATTAAGCCACTGGGCGTGGCTTAAAAGGTAGTCTAAGCAGGGTCGTATTTAGTTCTAATTAAAGTCGCCTGTGCAGAATTAAAACTTTTAAATGAGTTATATACCTAAGATTTGTTTGAAAATGTCCAATCCGAAATTAATCCAATTTATTGATCAAGTGTAACTTCTACATTACTTGTTGACCCTAGCGACTAAATTAGATTAGATAAAAGTTTGACAAGACCACACAAGACAATACAATAATTTGTCTCATAGTCCCAAAGTTTCGTAAACAGAACAATTTCAAATTTATTTTTTTTTAAATATGTATTTAAATGAAATTACCTTTTTGTTGTCATAAAATTAATCCCAACAGAATAAGGATTAATTTGTTTTATGAAATACATCCAAATTATTTAAAAGTTTAATTTTTGTAAGTGTATGAAATATGCCAAAATTTGCGGATTTGTCATGTTATATATTCGTCGATCTAATTGTCCAGCGCAAAATATAATGGGATTTGCTAAATTATGAATTTAGATTTACCTGCGCTTTAGTAAGAGGGACATAACATGACACATCGTTTATAGTTTTTGAAGGCACAACTCGATGGAAAGGAAAAATAACTTTATTATACAGGGTGTTTCCGAACTTGGCGTCCAAATTTGTAGGGGTGGTAGTTCGCATAATTTGAGACCGATTCGCAGATTTCAATTTTCCAAAATATTTAAAATAAAAATAATTAAAAATTAATTAAAAATTATAAACAGGTACGGCCCTGCACAGCGATAGGTCCGCCTCGACTCGCGCGCGCTATGCTTAGAATCGCATCTGTTTTTGAGGACTATTGCGCTACGCGCTCAGGGTAGGACCTGTTCTTTGATTTTTTTTATAATGGCTCTATTTTGTTTAATATATTTTTTTTAGAAAAATGAAATCTGCCAATCGCTCTCAAATTATGCGAACTACCACTCCTACAAATTTGGACGCCAAGTTCGGAAACACCCTGTATAAAGAATAATATGTGACAACTTTATTAATTAATTGACAACACTATCAACAAACACATGATTATTTTTACATTTGCTAGATATAGTAGTCTAGTCTATTACATCATAGTCTAGTCTGCAACAGTTTTTGCATACCTGGACTGTTTTATTATTGTTGCGTTTACGCATCGATGGGATTCCCAGTAAGAAGGCACACAAACCTAGGCAGGTTTGTCAAATTTGTACGATGTATATCTACCGAGCGATGGAAAACAAACAGACCTACTTCGATCCAGTTTGGCCCAGCCCGTGGTAGGCCCGTTGCTTTCCATCGGGCAGTAGATATATGACAACACCGTACAAATATGACGAACTTGAACCCGTTGTTGGCCCGGGTCCGGTCCGTTATATCTCCGTTGATTCATTCATTAATTCATATGTTTTTTTTTTTAAATAAACAATGCTCCCCTTTTTACTGCTTAATAAAAACTCATGCAAAAATGCATGTAACAAAATAAACTAATACTCGCTAATTCGTTATGTTTAACTTAATATAAAGTAATAACGTATTTCCATCTAAACTTCATTCAACAATAGATGTACGGAAATCTTTAATTGATGTGAACAGTGTCGGATTGGGATCTCCAGGGCCTACCGCTCAGGAGGGAGAAGGGCCCACCTTTTTTATGGTCCGATTTTCATTGAAGTGCAAAAAAGATCCTCTTGCGTATTACGAGATTTCTTTCATTTAATTCAAGAAGGCTTACTGCCTTCTCAAACGAGAGCCCACTGCCTAAACAAAGGCCCACTGCTTGAACGAGGGCCTACCAGTCTTTTGACCGGTAGACCCACGGCCCAATCCGACACTGGATGTGAAGGTAAAAGCTGAGCAATAAGTTTATTAAATATGTTGATGGTCTAAGTCTTTTATAGTCAGGAGCACATCGATGAACATCAGAAACGTATAAGCATTGTTAGTTGGAGTGAAGAACCAACAGATAACATAGATAAAGAGTTGGCTGAATTCATAGATGAGTATGTAATAATGAATAAATTAGTGTTCCAGAAATTTTCATAATTTTAACAATATAGGTGTCAACATTCTATTATAATCTATGTATAAAACAAAATCATCACAAAAATTAAAACATTTGTGATAGTCGTCAACAATAAAATCTATACTATTTCCCTTTTCTCTACCACTTAAGTTAGTTTAAACACAATACTTCCTTCCTATCCACCACCTCTCTTACTTCTTGCCTTAACTTTATTAACTGCTTCTCTATTCATTTTTCATCTATCTAATATCTTATCGAACGACCATATTGTTAAAAGTTTTCTCTAAACATGAGACCTAGTCATGCAGTTGAGTTAGTTTAATCGCTCCAAGCGTGTGCTGAAAATGTAGGTTGCTTGTCAAGTGCGGGAAATGTATATAGACAACCAACAAGACTAAACAAGATCCGAGGTATCCTTAAACTTTGCGCAGGAATGCTGCGAAGAGCACAACAGTCTTAGTCTGATTTGCGTTCAAGACACAAATATAGGTACTGTAATGATACATAGTTTAATTTATTTATAGTTTATTTAAACACAGTATTTACAATTTACCTCGTTATGGCAGTTTCTCGAAGCGTCAGCGACATACCTAGAAGATTCCGTCGTTTCGAGCATGAGTCGGGTGGCAGACTTGAAGGTCGCTTGCTTAGACAGGGTTGGCTTCACGTCACAGTACGAAAAAGAAAGATATTATTAACTCGCATTGGCTCTGCTATCCCGAATTCTAAAGAAACCAAAATAATTAGAGAATGGTTTTCTTGAAAGAAAGTGGAATGCAAATGGATGAAAAAGTATCCATACAGCACAAAAACATTTCGGAAATATTTCAATATTTCAAAAATGTTACATTGTAATATTTGTAATTTTTTTGTGAAAAACACTCCAAAAGGAGCGTTTAATAATATTACAATCTGATCAATAGTTGATCAATGAGTAATTTTTTTATAACCAAAATTAACTAGGGTTGCAATCTAAAGAACTAAAGTTCTACTCGCTAGTATACCTTAGGGTCTGATAACTTAATTACACTAAACCGCACAATGCTTTGCTTTGTTATTAACACAATCACTTGTCTAACTCAAAAGATTGAACTCTCTTGAGTCTTTTTGTCAGCTTCGTGTTGTCAAGAAGCTGAATCGCCTCAATGTTGGTGGATCCATTGTTCGTGACTCCTAGCGAATCTGGTGATAGTATGGTCAACAGTGTCCATCTCAAGGTCTCGATGAAGGTCGCTGTTTCTAATGTAGGTACCAATGAGCATGGACAATGTTTCTCAATAATTTGTTTTGGAATCTCTGGATTATTAGAATATGACTGTAGCTGAATGCTATAGGTCCAAATTGGTTTGAGAACTTGTTTATGTAATAGAATTTTGTTATATCCCAGATAGCACAGAACGTCCCATGGACCTCCTCATTTGGTTCCTTGTTGCTCCAGTTGGTCCCGGACCTAAATAGGACATCCACTGGACTTCCGATTACCGTGAACACTAGGACGTCCTTCGAAGGACGTCCTCTGGACGTCCTATTTTGGTCATGTTTCGACAAAGCGTTTAGTTTTCGGTCCGAGTCCAGGACGTTAATGGAACGTCTATGGGACTTTCTATGTGCTAGCATCGTTGGTCTTTCAATCGATAACTTGAAATTCAACGTTTTGTTTTTGCAAGAGTATGAGGACAGAAAACCTAACCTATCATTTATTTTCAAATGAACAACAACAGTTACAATTTTCGGCATTAAATAATTAACTTATATAAGTGAGTTATTAAATTAACGAAGAAAGGTTACATAGTGCTATATGTTATTTTTTTGATGTGGTGGTCAAATGGTTATAAAGTGAAGTGTTTTGTGTTGAGGTGAGAATAAGTGTAATGTGTATTGGCGGTAGCCGCTGGCCGAAAGAAAATACCATGGCGGAAAGTTGGAACAAAACTAATTTTGTTAAAATTATCAAACTCAGTTATGTCGGCCAAGCTATAAGTAGGACTGAAGGTTTCATCTTACCAGCGCTGTGTGTTTAATTCATTCGTTTTTATTTTGTAAACTGAAAACGTTTAACTCTAGCTAGTTTTTTAGGTCTCACATTTAGTGGCTATTTCATCTACAGAACGAGAAAGAAAGTCTTTTCGAAGATTATTAAATACATTAAGTACCATATGTTTTTTTCTTTTAAAGATAATGCTTTATGTCCACTAGTGTGCTTGCAATATTTTCTAATGCACTCTCCATTCTTACTTATATAACTGTAAAGTTATAATATATACTAATATAAAATTCCGAATCAATCAAAATACATACGACACGGCTATGAATAAATAAAGTGACTTATTTGTCAAAAGAAAATGTTTATTACTCTAAAAACCATGGAAACATGATTAAAACTTTTATTAAAACTTTTATTTTAACTACAAATAAGCATTGAATGATAAGGAATAAATAAAATGTCTACCTCTTAAACCTGTACTACGTTTTGCAAATTAAATTACTGTACTCCTGTCTTGCATGAGGTTATTATTCAATCAAAGTGCCAACCCAATACATTTAATTAAATTTCTACGTAAAAATCTGAATTTAGATCATAGAACGAACGAGACTTTTGTGAAAATTTCTGGAACTTGTTCTTACCAAAATATCGAGCTCCAACCATTAGATTTTGGAAACTACAATCACCAAATGTTATTTGTACATATACATTTTTAATTTTTTTTGTATCAAAAAATCAAAATTCAGATTGAAATAAAAATCTACTCAATAGTGTTAAATATTATCTCTACATATTATTAAAAAACTATTTATTTTGCGCTCCTGAATATATCAAAATATTTACCATTACAACAGATTTTGTACAAAACATTTTAAAATATAAATAAACATTAAAGCCCCATCTTTTCACCTCTGAGTTAAAGTTACATGTAGGTTTACTTGACAGATTAACAAACAATAGCCCTATAGTTTAATCAGCAAGTAGTTACTTTCATCTTAACTCAGAGGTAAAATGAATATTGAAATTATTTTAAATTTTTTGGCACGAAATACCTCGTAATAAACTCAGTTTTTTGTAGTTTCCAAGAATCTAGCACAGGTTCTCGACTTAGCACATTTCCAACAAGACCATCAAGAATTTATTTCTTCAAGGAGAAGAACATCGGAACAAAAAACATCCCTATTTGAAGAAATAATCAAGCAAGAAAAAAGGAAAATTAACAACAACCAGAAACAAGCAGAATCGAAATACCCACAGAATTCGGATAAGGACCGTACGGACAAGAACGAGGACCGCCCGGGATGGTTTTCGTTCTTGAAAAAGAAAAGAAAGCATGCTCAATCTAGGACTTCTACAGTCACCCGAAGGTTATCTCTATTAGATGATGATGAAGTAGACGATGAAGGAAGGTACTAGTTTACACAAGGTGAAAATTTAAAGCAATGTTTATATCTCATGAACTACAGATGATATCAGAAAATAATTCTTAAACCCGTTTATAGGATACGAAGGTGGAATTTAAATTACAAAATACAGAAGTCGCCACCATTAACCTCCTATGCACTACCTACCTCGAAAATAAAATAGCAACATTCATACATCATAAGAAATATAGTAAAAAATGCTTTTATCGATATGTTATACTCTATACAGAAGTAGTTCAATAGTATCTACATATTATTTAAATAATTAAAAACCAATTTAAAAAGAAGATGGCATGTTTATCTGAATTAAATATTTGTGATATCATCTTTAGAGATACAGCCATTGTAAGTTTTTAATTTATCACCGTATACCAAATTTAACTAAAAAGCGGCATATTTTTTCAAATTCAACAAAAATTCTTAATGGATTTATTTCAATAAATTCTAAAAAGGTCAAAGTTGGCAATAATTACAACAAATCCAGTATATTGTACGTAATGATTAGCAGAAATAGCGACGATAGCCAAGAATTTGATTGGGCCACTTTTGCAGGTTCTGTAGGAAGAGCGTTTTTCCGCCGCTTAGTTTCAGCACCGGAGAGTACGTATCTTCGATGCTATCTTATGTGAGGTGGACTTTGTTGTACATTTCGTTGGTAGGAGGTGGACGTTGCTGTCCAGACTCATTTGCTGCAGGTAAACGTTGTCGTCCATCGTTCTTTTGTTTTGATCCATCTTGTTCCCACTAGTAACTACGAAAGGGAAAGTCGGACGACGCAGAGCCACGCATGTGCCGGAAAGGCTAGATACAAGAAAGAGTATGTCACCAGGTGCCCTCGGGGGAACGTTTGTTGTCGCATTTACCCTTGCAACAATTCATCCGTCGGCACGTAACCTTAAACCTTAGATTGGGAGAGTTAGCTAGGAGACTCTAGCCGTTCTTCGTCACCTGAAGACGAGCCCAGTTGGCGCTCAACCACTGGGATATGATTTTTATATTAGGTGTATCGGATAGAAATTGTTTGTTAACAAGTAGAATTTATAAAGTAGTCCAGACAAGAGATCCTTCCAAAATATAATGAATAGATTTATAGAAACTGGTTGTCTTAATTAGAGATATACGACAAACAATAACTATGGTTTTTCTCCAATATTTTTGGGAAGAGCAGATCGGAGAAAACACGAATTTTACTAATTGCAGTAAATTATTCAAAGTGTGATTGAAAAATCGCACAATCATCGTCCAACTCTACTTTTTCTTTGAATTGACGTTTCTGTTTTAAAGGATTTGTTTAAAAATGCTTTGTAAATACGGATGTAAGTAAAATAGTATATTGTTTCACGAGTGACGAAAAAAATGATTTTCGACGAGTAAAACACTATACTTTTTCTACGAACTCTATTATGTCATGTAGGTACCTACTAAAATGAAAAAAAAACAAACGTTAGCAAATGCTTTATTTTGTGTTAGGAATAACAAAAAATTAACCAACAATTAAATATTTCAGAAATATTATTTATTATTTAAATATTGATTTATTGTTATATTTGAACAATTGTTCAAAATTATGGGGGTATCACACTCAAGCTTTTTATTTATTGAGGTAGATGCCGACATATTTGTTCTACTGTTAAATGTCATTTCAGATGATGATGCGCCATAATCGGATGAACTAGTAGTTTCCTTATTTTGTACAGATTGTAAAATTTTGGTTTGTATTTGGTTTTTACTGTTCGTGGATTCATCAACATATCCTTCCGCAACACTACTAGATTTCCAACCACCGTGCTTTTTTAACAGAAGCAAGTCGCCTCCTGCATCCACTAATAGCGTTGCGGATGTTCTGCGGAAACAGTGCCCAGTGTAATCTTGAGGATTCGGAAGCGTTAAAAACTGAGCAATTTCGTTAGGAAATTTACTGATTTTATTAATTCCAACAACCAACTTTCCATTCTGATAGTTAATAAAGAATCTTGAATTAATTTGATCCATGTTTGCGGGACGTAGGCTCATATATTTTTTAGAAATATCATAAAAGGGTCCAGAAATATGAAAAGAACGCGGAACTTTTGTTTTTGTATTACGGATTTTAACTAAAAGAATACTTCCAGTATCCTTTACATCGCTTATTGTTAAATCTTTTAGTTCGTGGCAACGACAAGCGCCAGATAATCCAAAAACTAATGCTACCTACAAATATTAGTAGTTATGTATTAAGTATTTGTTAAAATAAAAATAATAATTCCATTACCTTTGTTATTAAATATTTATAGTCAGGTGCATTCTTTAGGAAAGTCTTTATGTCTTCAGGCGAAAAAATTTTGGATTTTTGGCTTTTAAAACCATCAGATTTTCTTTTCAAAAGCGAACGTTACTTTGGATATTTACTAATATCAACATCATTTTTAACAGAGAGTGTAGTTCTTAGCATCGAATAAATGGACCATAACGTCGACGGTTTAAAATGTGAACATATTTCTCCAAAGTATGCTGAAGTAATTGTTTAATTATAACAACTTTAATATAAAACTCGTTTATTTTCTAGTTATGACAACTTCATACAAATTAATGACAAACCTTCCCTATAGCTCTAGGAGTAGGTATATAGTATACACATATCACCACATCCCCCCTTAAGTCGTTTTCCGCTAACTTTTCTCATATCTCATCTCCCCGTTCTAGATATTCTCAAATGAATTTCCTGTTTCTGGAGTATATACGTCCACTCGCGGTTTTTATTAGGTAATTTCTGTTACTTCTGACTTCGACGATATCTCCTAGCTTGTCCCATAATTTGTTTGTTGGATTTTGAATTCTAACCCTAGATCCAACTTTAAGGGGTACCAGATCTCTTGCTCTTTTATTATAATAGCAAATTGCCTTATCGCGCTGGATTCCTTTAATTCTGTCGTAAGTATCGACTGCAACCTGCCATTCTTTCGAAAATGCCTTGTGATGTGCTGGTACCAAAGTTCTAATAGGGTGACCAAATAAAACTTGAGCTGGAGATATTCCATTAGATTTTGGAGTATTTCTCCATTCCAGCAACCCTGCGCAAAATTGGTGGTCATCTAATTTTCCACCATTCGTACATTTTATAATTAACGTTTTCATTGCTTTTACACCAGCCTCAGCGTGCCCATTGCTTTGTGGATAATATGGGCTGGATGTACAATGAACTACATTCCATTTTTTTAAAAATGATGTAAACTCGTAAGAACTAAATTGTGGCCCATTGTCCGAACGTAATCGTAGAGGTACACTAGTATCGCAAAATATTCTTCGTAAATCGTTTGCTAACATTGTGCTATTTGGATCCCTGCTTCCATAATGACATATTACTGGCCACCCGGATAGTCTGTCCACATATACCATGTATTTTTTACCAGCGTATGAGAACAAATCCGCTGAAACATCTTGAAAAGGAAAGGTAGGAGGTGGATCATCCAAATATGTTTCTTTTTGTAAGGAAGGTCTAAGCGTCTGACACATTTCACATGACTCTATCATATTTTTAATATCGTTATTGATATTTGGCCAGTATACTGTTTGTCTAGCACGGCGTTTTGTTCTCTCAATGCCCTGATGTGAATCGTGAAGTCTCTCTAACAGGATGTGGTGATATGTGTATACTATATACCTACTCCTAGAGCTATAGGGAAGGTTTGTCATTAATTTGTATGAAGTTGTCATAACTAGAAAATAAACGAGTTTTATATTAAAGTTGTTATAATAAAACAATTACTTCATGGCGCAGTCATAAAGAAATATATATACTGTAAAGATCTACGCATAAGTACTAAGAACATTTTTATTTAAAAAAAAAAAATGCTAGTAGTACAGTTTCCGAAAATGATTTCACTTTATTTTTTTCTCTCCAGTCCAAAAATTTGATATAAATTTCTTCATATCTCTTTTTTGATTTGGCCGGTAATAAATCTGAAGAGGTTTCTTCAGCTTTAAAAATAATTTCTGGGGGAGTACAATCGCTTTCTGACTCAGACATCATGAAAATGTGTTAAATTTAGGACGAACTGAAACTGACAGTTCTCAAAAGTGATAAAACTTCAAATAAACAAATGAAAACCAGAAAACTAGATGTAGATTGGTTTAATTTGCACTATTTTTATACATTTTTATTTTATCTTTAATTCATTAAAGTTTAGGTAAAAACGCATATAGAATTTAATGAGCATCTTTTTATTTCATTATTAATAATTATAAGCTGCCAAAATATTATACGAGGCGACTGATATATGAAAATATGTAACAACTTACTTTCGTCACTAGAGACGAAAGTAAACGTTATGGGATTTTTTCTCACTAGTGACGGAAATCAAGTTTTCGCTGAAAGTATCCTGTGGCGAAAGATGTCTTTTTGTAAGAGTTCGTAGAAAAAAGTATAATTTTAGCTTAACCTAATATTTATACACTAATATACAGAAGCCGAATCGTGTTTGCGGAACCCAAATCATTTAAATCACATGAGAACAGATCGGAACTGTAAGGTGGTTGTTATAAGGCTTCCCACTTCCTACGAATAAGCACATCATGTAAAAGAATGATGCAATTTGTGAGCTTTTCGAGACGCCTATTCTTGATGCTGAACCCATGTAACCAAACTAATTTATAAATTCCTGAATCGTATTAAATGAGAAGTTTAACAACATCCACTTCACAGTCACACCCTGTCCCATGTGATTTTCACATTTTTGACTCAGCACTAGGACGAACCGTCGGATTCTGAGATAGAGTTTGCAGTTAGGGAATGGTTCCGCAAAAGCAATGAATCTACAGATTCGTGCAAAAGTACCCGAAGAAAAACATTTATGATCATTAGTATCGATCACTAAAGAGGTGCCCCACCCAGTATTTACATAATTAAATTTTCTTTAAAAATATCTTTAGAACGATAAACTGTATTTTTTTCTTTAGCGATATGTCCATATCACAAATCGAGGAACAATTGCATAAGGAGAACGGCAGCAAAAGTTTAGAATCTTATCGTCGCAGAATCTCTCCAATCGGTGAGTATATTACACAAATACTTCCGATGTTTTTTTTTGTTAGTAATAGCACAGCTTATACAATACAGCTAAAACACTCTCTTGGCGGCAACGGTTTGCGTCGATTTCGTCGCGCATCGCTTAAGCTCCGCCTTCGAAGGGAAAAGACGGTTTTGGCGTTCAGAAGCGTACTTAGGCAAGGTGTTGAGTCGTGCGTATAATTTCGTTGATTGTATAATTTCGTGGAGCCTATAATTTCGTTGATTTTGTTTGAGTTAAAGGTACTGTTATTATTTTGGTGACTCTTTAGCTGTGAGTAGAATGAGTTTGTGCAGTCAAAAGCTGTTTTAATAAGGGTTATACCTGCAAGAAAACATTCTTTAGTTTTCCCAAGGACCCAAACCGATAAGAACTACATTATAAGAAATTTTCATTGTTAAAAATATAATTTATACAGGGTGTCTCATTAGTGCGTTATTGTTCATTATTTTGTTGTAGACACGCAAGAAAGTTTTAAATAAAAGTTATATGGATTTGAAAAATACCTACATATTTTAAAAATATCTTCGGATATACAGGGTATCACGTTTTTGCCTGGAAAATTAAAATGTATGTTTTTTAAATGGAACACCTTGTATTTTATTTTATGATAAAATTATTAACACCCTAAATTATTGTAAAGACGAATTGCTACAGAAAATTTTTATCAGGTATGTGTGTGGTTACCTTTTAATAAAAGCCTTGCGGATCCACTCCTGCGATACCTGTCTTAAATATAACAAAGATCACGTTGAATTAGACGATTTTTCTTTTTATTGCTTTTAAAAGGCATATGATAACGCCAATTCAGATACATTTGGAAATCTGCAACTGTCAAATGATGAATTTGTAGAACTTATATTCAATATTGAAAAGATATTTTAAAATAATTTTGAAGAATTGGCTACAAAAAATAACATTTGTACCACACTTTTAGAATTAATTAACCCAATACCCTTTAGTCATCCATGCTAACGTTTTCCAAAAGAATAACTTATTTTATTGTATGTTTAATCTCAATAACTAAAAAATATACTGACAATTAGTTTGACAGAATTGTCATTTATTTAAAATTTTAAAAATAATAGCAGTCGGTTGATCAAAATATGAACGGTGATTGGCGAATTTATTTTTTTTTTCAGTGTTCTCACTACCTAGAATGGATATGAAATATATTCGTTCAATTGAAGGCAATAGCATACTTTTTCGTTTTGTAATCTGTGCATGGATATTAGCCAATCTACGCACATACTACAAAACGAAAAATTATGTTTTCCTACGACCACTTAGGAAAGTGACACATATCACACTATATAGTCCTATGGAAAGTGCCCTATATCACACGCGTATGAATAAGAATTTACTTTCCACCCGAGTGAGAATATGTTACTTTCCGCAGTAGTTGCCACAAAATGTCAAACAGCTAATTTCTATTTTGATCTATGTAATATCCATATTAATACCTACTAAAATCGATATGACTGTTAAATTATTGAAATTGTTGTAAATTAGATCCTAGATATTTATATTTAACAATTATTATTAAAATAATTTTAAAATAATGTTTGCTCTTTATTCTGGTTAAATACATAACCGATTAGATCATTCAATTGACACAAGGGCTATTAGCTCAGGTGGTTAGGACATCGAACTTATCAACTTTGCCATTTTTCGACCGCGTTCAGTCTATGGTTCAAATCTTGGCGGAGCAGAATTTTTTGTTTGTTTTTTTTTTATTTTTTTTTTAGTTTTTTTTTGTTTAGAAAATATGAAAATTGAATAAATACGATTATTGTTGATTATTTTTTTTAAATACATTTTACTTATTATAGTAATAATAACCTTGGTTTTACATTTTTTTTGATGACATTATTTTGTGGTCGTAGGAAAAATATTGTACATCACTTGTGTGAAAAGTGATTTTCCACACTCGTAATGTAATATACTATATTGCGTTCAACTACGAATATATTTCATATCCATTTTAGGTAGTGAGAACACTTTAACAAAATTAAATCTACAAATCACAGTTCATATTTTGGTCACCCAACTCCTATTATTTAAAAATTTTTAAATAAGTGATAATTCTGTTAAAGTAATTGTCAATATATATTTTAGTTATTGATATTAAATATACATTAAAATTTTTGTGTAGACTCGATAAATAATAGCATTTTTGTTCTTATTATGTCCACATTTAAAAAAAAAATAAATTTTAATCAAACTACATGATACTAATTTAATTACGAGTATTAAAACTAAAGTCCTGAAAGTTTCGTTGAAGATGAGGACAGAACATCTGCCTTCCATGCGAAAAGCCCGGGATCGAATCTAGGCCGAGGACTAATTAATTTTTCATGTTTATTTTATTTTATAAATTAGTCAACTTCGTAAATTATTTTAAAATTAGTTATTTTGTCTAAATAACCTAAAATAATTTTTTAAATTTGTAGATTTTCGTTAGTGGGTCGTAGAAAAAATATACTGACCATATCGAGTGGATTGTTCATATCACAATCAGACGATTGAGTACTCCGCCTACGACGTCGTGCTCAAACTTCGTCTTTGTGTGATATGGCTATCATATCCACCCTTGTTGAACAAACTACAATTTATTTGTTTTCTTGGTTTAAGTTTTACATCAGAAATAAGAACTAAATTAATTTACTTTTCAAGTTCTTGTAAAAATCGATATTACTTTCTCCAAGTACAAATTTAGTACCTACCTAAAATAAGTACTAATTATGTAATATCGTGTAATATTGTAATTCAAATTTGACATTACTATAAAGTTTTAAAATTCCCTACTTCGGTATGGTCAGATAAAAATTGAATATATTATATTAATAAAAACTGTTAAAGTATTAGTTCTACAAATCTGTATTTCAATTAATAAGAATACATCTAAATATAACCAATATTGTTAAAATAAAAGCACAAATTCTTTATAATTCCAAAATACCATAGAGTTCCCAGACCTCAGTCGAAGCATTCGTTTATCTAGGTATAAACCCTTTGCGCGAAGAGTAACACTTGCCAGAGACACGGGGTACCACTTGATTTGCATCCACGAGCGTGACACAATTCTTTAACAATTGAAGCCCTTGGTGTAAAATGGATCCAAGCCACAATTTGTCGTGAAGTGACTGTTTTAGCTCAAAACATTTGTTAACGAGAATTTTACTAGCCATATATAAATTATTTTACCTCTAATCCGAAAGATGTGCTATTTTTCGTAATAATTATATTTAAATAATTTTTTTAATTATATTTGAAAGATTTAAAACAAATTAAAATTGTAATTTCCCAAAACTTACTTAATATGGCATGTGACCAACCTTATTACCCCAAGGTTTTCAATTTTTTCAATAATAAAAAAATTGTTTAATCCGGGCCCGACTTTTCCCTTGAATCTAACAGAGATAGCACCATTCCGTCTTGCTTGGTTCTCGACCGCCAGATAAAAGACGCCGACACGGAGTTGTGGAGCTGTATTGTATAAGCTGTGGTAATAGCTTTGTTCAGGGAGCCTGTCGGCGTTATATCCACGACAGATGAGTATGCGCGTGTTCGCGAAGCCGAAAATCAGGGATTTTGACCAATGAGCTTGAATAATATTATTAATAATAATTAATATTATTCAAGCTCATTGATCAAAATCCGATTTTCGGCTCCGCAAACGCTAAAAATCGAAATGATGAACATGCATCTGTCGTGTACAATATGCTGGCTCCGCGAAAAAAGCTATTATCTTGATGAATCTTTAAAAAATATGTTTGTTTTTTAAAAGGACATTTCAAATAAACTGTATACAGACCATCTCTTTACATATAATAATATCTTGTAAGGTATTTTCTTGTCTCTAAGAAAATACAATCCTTACTGGTGATGCCGTAGGCTCGGAAATACTCAGGCGCCAGTTTTCTCAATGTGATTTGTTCCACAACCTTTTGAACCGTCATCAAAAGAGCTCGGGTTGGGTTGCTTCAGATAGAGATACGGAAAATTCCAAAGGTAAAATTGATATCAGAGTGAGATTATAAGAGGGTAACAATCTTAGGTTTAAATAGTTATTGTTTCGTCAGTGAATTTTCGAATTTAAAAAAGAAAAATTAATATTTAAATATTTTAAAATCAGGCAACTTGTTCGCTGTTTTATCTGAAATATTGCCACCCTATAAAGTTATAAGAACAATTTTGCCAATTTAGTTTTAAAATAAATGTTATCGGTACAATAGCATTCTGCAAACAGAGAATTTAGAGAACATGCTCTGCGAAAGAAAGCAAGTAGCTCTCAAAATTATAGAACAGTGGTACAAGGCAGAGCCCTGCACATGCCCGGTCCGGCCCGAGTTCGAAAGCACTAAGCCCCGGGCGGAATTCGAAAGCACTAAGGCCCGACCCGAGTCAACTATTAACCCTCTAAGGACAGACGTCGCTTATATGCGACATATCCTAATCATGTAAAATAGCCGAGCGTGGCTTATAAGCGACAGGGGTAAAACAATAGAGAGTTATTGCAAGTTCACCTAAGGTCAGTCACTATTAGTGCCGCTCTTATTTTGACATCTGAGCATGCGCAGATAACTTAACTTTGATAAAGATTGTGCCTGTCCTTAATAGAGAGATATTGCAAATTTCTATAAAGCCAGCCACTAATAGTGACATCGTAATTAGAGTCAAATAAATTCCATGCTAAAATCAGACTTATTGCAAACCTGAAATTTTGACATTAGAATCCTCGTCCTTATACTTATTTTTAACCTTATAAGGTTTAAATGACGATTATATTAAATATTTAATATTAAAAAACTTCTAACGAATACGAATGTCGCCGAGCGCATCCGATAGCTATAAAGTCGCCACTACCTGCTGCTCTTAAACATCCACAATTAAGGACAGGCACAGTCCTTAATAAAGTCAGTTTTTGGAACATAAACATCTGCGCATGCTTAGATGTCAAAATAAGAGCAGCACTAATAGTGACTGACCTTAAGTGAACTTGCAATAACTCTCTTATTAAGGACAGGCACAATCTTTATTAAAGTTAGTGATCTGCGCATGCTCAGATGTCAAAATAAGAGCGGCACTAATAGTGACAGATCTTAACTGAACTTGCAATCTCTCTATTATCAGGATACTCTTTAGCCTTACTAAAGTTTGCTATTTTGACAGCACTTATTATAGCCGAGCGTCGTCCTTGGTCGACATTTCCAAGTACATTGTATGGCCTCAGGTCGCTTATATGCGGCCAACGCACGAATCTACGGAAACATTTAGGTAAAAACTGGGTAAAGTGCATAGAAAAAACAATTCCGTCCTTAGAGGGTTAAAAATAAATTGTTAGGCCGGACTCGATCCTGATTTTAAATGGACCAGCCAATACATAACGAGGACTACCTGCTGTGATTCTTTCGCTGGATGATTTAATGAGTAAAACAAATAAATTAATGTATTTAACTACTCTTAAAATGTCAGTTTCGGTTATTTAATACACAGGGTGTTCCTTAGTGACATGCTAATATTTAAGAGTGATTTTTGGGACCATTTTAAGGAAAAAACTTAATATGGACGCAAGTCCTAAACCTCCTAACTTTTGAGATACAGGGCGGTGAAATTTTCAAAAAAAAATAGTTTTTTTGTAATAACTGTGATACTATTGTAGATATCTTCATGAAATTTATCTTCTATGAATTTTGGAATCCTCATTCATTTCTGAGCAAATTTGATCTCCTGATTTTCTTTCCCCCGGCGCATGGTTTATGCTTAAAAAAATAAAAATCATTTTACTTCAGGATCAAATCGTTAAATGTCTGATGCTTATTGACTTAAAGTAAGTTGTTGTTTTTTTGATTTTGGTTCATTGAAGTCATTTTACTTTTTCGCTATTTTTCGAATGTAAATTATGGTAAATTATACGAATGCGGAAATGGCAGCAATGTATTACGTGTATGGCCTCGCAGATGGTAATGGCAACAGAAGCCAGATGAATTTATCAGAAAAGATATCCTAATCGTGCCTTGCCAGATAGCCGAATCTTTTCAAATATTCATCACCGACTAAGTGAAACTGGTAGTTTCAATAAAGGTACTTCGGAAGGTAGACCTCCAACTGTCGGAACCCCTGAAATTGAGGAAGCGGTACTGCAAGAAATCGACGAACATCCTGAGACGAGTACGAGGAAGATCGCTAGAGCTCGGAATATTTGTCACCAAATTGTTTGGCGTATTTTGATTGACTTTTTGTTATACACATACCATATTCTAAGAATACAGGCAACTCCCCAGGGATTTCCCTTAACGTGTGAACTCCTTTCAGTGGTATCTTCAGAGTATTACACTAAATCTGCAGTTTGCGTCACACATTTTGTTCACAGATGAAGCAAATTTTTCTCGAAATGCTATTTAAAATTTTTATAACAATCATGTGTGGACTGAAGAAAATCCGCATGCTATAACTGAAACCCATTTTTAAGAACAATTTTCAGTTAATGTATGGGCAGGAATTATTAGTAATCATCTAATAGGCCATTTTTTCTATCAGAACGCCTTGATGGCCAGTCTTATTTGCATTTTCTCGAAGAAGTACGTGGGTTGCTTGAAGATGTGCCAATTGCGTTAAGGAATCAAATGTGGTTCATGCACGATGGAGCTCCTGCTCATTTCAGTTTAATTGTTCGAAATCATTTAAATACAGTTTATCCTGATTGTTGGATAGGTTCCGGGGACCTCAGCAATGATCAGCAAGAACCCCCGATATCAATAGTTTGGATTTCTATTTATGGGGACACCTTAAAACTCCAGTGTATCAAACTTCCGTTAACACTGTAGAGGATTTATTTTTATCAATATGTAATGCTCACAAAAGGCAATTATCAGGCACACTCAAGTACTAGTCAATAAATTGTAGAATTCCGAAGCATCTTCTGACATAAACACTTTACATTTTGTCACCAGTCTGCATTTTAATAATTTGAAAAAAAATGTGTCTGCTTTATTGGAAATTTTAAATGCAGTCGGCACACCTTCACCAAACTTATCAACAACCATGAGTGTTGTCAATAAAAAAAAAATAATATGTTGTTCCATGTGTTGAATCAACACATATTTTATCTAACCAACAGTCCGTAATTGATTTACTTCAAATTTGGCCATAAATATTAACACAAAATCATTCTCCGCATAGATATCTGCAAATTCATTAAAACCTTGGGCTTTGTAAAATAAGACAGGAAACTGAAACTGATCAATTTGTTGCTTGAAACGTTCAATCCAAAGATGAACACTTATAACATCAGTCTTGTGTAACTGAACATGCCCCTGTAGCGAAAAATCCCTTGTTTACATTTCTTAAGTCTTGGCGATCTAGAAGACTAAGTCTGCCCAATGATTCTTTTGAATCCATTTCATCACGGATATCATCCAGAATTTTTTGAAATGATACGCCTTCAGCAATTTTTCGTTAAAAAACAATTATTATATAAAATTACTTGCGATTTGTTTCCTTTCAATTTTAGTAAGGTTTATGTGCGTCAAATTGCCCTTATGTCCTACATGAGGAGTGTATAAAGTTGCTTTCAATTCTTTTTCTTTGCAAATTAATTCTAATGTTGATGTACAAGTGACTGTAAGTTTTGAAGAACTCTGAGATTTTAAAAGTCTCTGATGCTCACTATGTGAAATAGATACATGTCTGCTTAGCTTTGCTGATCTATGGCAAACAAAGTAGATTTTTTTCTGACTTGCCACTACTCTTTTTTCCACTAGTCTTCACATAAGAACATTTAATTTCCTTCTCTTTTAAATCTTTCCATATCTGAAATTCTACAAACATATTTTCATTACTCATCAATTTATAAAATTTGCCTGTAATACCATCCTGAATAATCCACAAATTGTTTTTCTTCTTTAAATACTTCAAACTCGTGATCCGTAATTAAATGGTCACGAAATTTGGAATAACTTTCATAAAGTCTAAAACAAGAAGGACACACCAAGGAACATTTCTTGTAACTTTTGGGTTCCTCTCCGTGAACAAGTCTAATATGTTTATTTAAATTAGATGGTCTACTAAATGTTTTATCACAAATATTACATGATTTTCTATTATCTACATTTTTTCCATTTTTTTATAAAAGAGGGAAAGCCCACTCACGCGACATGTCGCGCGTGACCTGTCGCATGCGATTTTTTAGGTGCGCTTTGACGACAAGCAGCGACACAGACGTTCATATCAAAATAGAGGTGGAAGAAGTAGCAACGGTGTTGTTTTATTCTGTTCGTCGGCGGAAAAAATTGAAACGACGTAGGTACTGGATTCATCCATTATTTATAGACCCTTATGTAAAAGGCGCATTTAATTTATTATGTAAAGATTTACGTCAACACGAAGATATGTTCTTCAAATATTGAAGAATGCTAGCGCAGATTTTCGAACAAATATTTTTGTTGCTATTTTATTTCAATTAACTGTTCGATATTTGAGGTCGGTCTTGAGTATCGGATATAAATTCATCTATATCAATACAACTGTCGGACATTTTTTCACTGGAACTGTCAAAAAGTTAACAGGAAACTCCAACTCTCAACTGGCGTTTCGCAAGCAACTTGACGTTTGTATGAGTGATGCTCCATATGTATCCATGATAACGCTGGCCGCGTGGGGCAGAAAAATCGCGGGTTTGTCATTTCTAATTTTCAGCCGCGCGCGATCACGCGACAGAACCGCGTTAATGGGCTTTGCGTCATTTAAAAACATCTAAAGTATTGCCGCGCGCGTTGCCTCGCGATCAGTCGCGCGCGACGTGTCGCATGAGTGGGCTTTCCCTCTAAAAAACTATAATTTTACTGCAAGATATTTTACCACGCGTTACTGGTTAACTGTATAAAAATTAAAAATCACACTAATAACAGTGGTTGACAGTATTTAGTTGACAGATGAGTTTGACAATAATTCTAATCCGTAGGGGCGCGGCAGTAGGATCCTTTCCTCTCGCGACCGCCTTGTCTGTTTTGTGGCAGCGCCATTTTCTTAACGCTCATTTGTTGTACGCTAATTTGTCCGGCTATTTTGCGACAGAGCCAATAATATACACAGTGAAATGCGTCAGTTTCATAGGCAGGTTTGATTTAATATATACACTGTGGTCTTTTTCCTCATAAAAATATTCTGAACATAATTTTTTTACAGTTTTATTTTAACGAAAATTTTATTTTTCAGAGAATCCGATTTCCGAAAAAGAGAATAAGCTTAATCGATATTTAAATAACTTGGACGTCACCAGACCATCGTAGAAACCATAAAATATAGTCATTAAAAATATTGTCTATTGCATCTTCATTTTTGGTGACCAATTCTGTACCTGCTTAGAGGTCAAGAATATTATCTCCAATCTTATAGATTTGGGGAAAATGCTACCCAAAGTTGAAAATACGAGTTTGTACCGCTATGAAGAAATAAAATTATATTTTTTCTAAACGTACTATATCAAAAATATAAGTTTAAGGTGTTTTAGTAAATGCATTATCTCCACTTGATACGAAACTAGAGATACGATTCTTTATCTCTAAGGTAATTGGGCTAATTTTGTGACCTTGACATTCAGAGGAGAAGGCAATAGAAGACCACAAATACTTACGTTATTTACATCATGGATACGAACATACCTCTGAATATTAAAAACGAACATACCTCTGAATATTAAAAGTATCTACTGGGCAGTCAAGCTATTGTCGTCTAAAGAAAATTTCCAAATAGTCACGAAATAAGATATTTTTTTTAAATTAAATGTCTGGTCATAAACCCATCAAAAATAAAAAATACACACTCAACAAAAAAATGATTTATTTAACGTCAATGTGTTACATGTTAAATGCAAAAAAAGTTGGGAAACACCTTATGGTCGCAGTTTAGTGTGAAATTAAAACATAAATTCGATTTAATGGAAGAATAATTGGATACTTAAAACTTAATTTGGTTCAGATTCTATGAATTTGTAAACAAAAATTATGTTAAGTCGTAGTACCATACGGTGTTTACAAAGTGTTTAAATCTTTGGTAACTGAAATTCTAATTTTAACTTTCCTACTTTAGCTGTGCCGAGTTCGTTTATCCATAACTATTAAATATTGCAATTTTCGAAACTAATTATATTAGTACTAGAGTTATGGCTCAACCAAGTGGTCACAGCTTTGTGTTACTCTTGAAAATATTACGGTGAAACTAAGTTAAAATGGCAAATACAAGATGACTAGTTTGATACTAAAAGGTCTAAAAATTTTGTGTACATGTTTAAGTATATACTCGAAGGGACACAAATATATATATTTAAAGAGAGTTAATTTCGTACTCAACTAGGAAATATTTTAAAACACAAAATATTTGTCATAAGACAAGATAAACAATCGTTTCATGAGTTCCATAGAGTTTCAAGTACGATTATTAGTGCCCAAACATTTTAAAACGTTCGAATTACGCGCCATAAAAATTTAGTTGCTTTGCGCACCAAAAGTATATTAAACAAAATAGTGGAGTACAAATTTTATCCATGGCATGATCAAAAGGTACTTGAAACCATAAAGTAATTCGAAAAATTTGTATATAATATATTGTAATATTTGTGTTCCTTCATCATATACACTTAAGCTGCATAAAATATATTGCATCATAATTATTGTACTTGTTCAAGTCTAACAATATCAAACATACAAGCTTTTTGTTGTATTTGCGAATATTGTGAATTTTTGAGAAATTACTAGAGAAAATTTTAAAATCGTATAAAAGTATATAGTATATTTCAATAGAGTTAAAGCTTTAGAGGTAGATGAATATTTCCATCTACTCATTTGTAGTCCATTCTAATATGGTTTTAATTTTAAAGCGTTCAAAAGTTCTTAATAAGAGTAGGAATATTATTTGATTTAATCTCAATATGTCCGTTTCTATCTAAAAAAAGCTTCATCAACAAGGACGAATATCAAATCGGTGTTAAATGCTAATAACAAGTGAGTGCTTCACGAATCAAATAGGTTTAGAACAATTTTTCTATAAATATCCGTTCTTCAGAATATTTTACTAAAATTGGAAGATGTTTAAAAAATGTACTACTAAAATATATGTATTTAAATTTTTTAGAAATAGAGTACACAAACTAACGGTATGTTCCTGCGAATACAACTGACTGACGGTGACGTCACGTGGGACATAGAATTATAGCATTAAATGGAAGATAGTGTTTGAAATTCTATATTTCTCGGTTTTTAGATTTAATTCAGTTACTTAAGCTTTATTGGTTATTTTGTATTATATTGTATACAAATATGAAGGTAATACTAATAAAAATATTAATGTTTCTCATAAATTATAGGTATTTTGTGACAAAAGCCATACCCTGACCATAAGATAAGTGAAGAATGTAGATGAACAAGTTTTAAAAGTAATTTTAAAAAACCGACTTCAAAATCGTGCCGATGCCCTTAAAAATTGAGATGTTTTATTTTTTTATAGATTATTAGACCCTGACCAACTGTATATGTATTTACCCCTGAGGGTATCCCCTTTTTAACAAAAAAAAGAATCATAGAACTTGGTCAACGTGGTAAAGAATTATCGCTAAAAGATTGATGATTTTCTCATGGACTCCATTATTAGATCTTGACCAAATTGATATGGGTCCACCTCTGAGGTACCCTCTTACTAACAAAAACAGAATCATAGAAATCGGAAAACGTAGTAAAGAATTAACGCTAAACATACATAAAAAAATATATTCCGACGAACTGAGAACCTCCTCCTTTTTTTAAGTCGGTTAAAAATAAAAGTTTAACATAAATTTGTACTTTCTGAGCGTGGTAATTACTCCTACCATCTCTTTTCTTATTATGTGAAATAAACATAAATGTACAGAAACAAATTATTTATTTAGTAAATACACAAAAATTACTTTTGAATAGGAAAATTTAAACATTTTTTTGTCAAATTTTCTTTGAAACTAGTAATTTTTCTGTTCATGTATCTTATTCCTTATGTTCGTGTAATGCTTCAACGGGGACCGTTGGTTTTGCGACACGAAACAGTTTTATGTGCTAAAATTTTATTTGCTTAACAAGGCCTCATGTACCTGGTGGAATTCAGTTTCCTTTTTTTGCGTCTATGTTTAAGAGGAATCTCAAAACTACTTTCCTCAAAGTGGATAGAGCAAATTCATGCTAAAATAAAAAAAAATATAAAGTTTCACTATCTCTAAATCTATTATACTTATGCATTTTACTAACCATTGTTTAAATGAAAGGATAAAAAAAGCTGAACACCTACAAAAATGCAAGAAGAAATATTTACTAAAACTTTGCAAATCAGGTGCTACACCTTATGAATATCACCAATATTATCACAATCTACCTGTATCCAATAATGTCAAAGATACGGTACCTGAATATTCCATTAAAGATATATTATACGTTGAATATTATGACAGCTAAAATAAGCTATGAGTTATCTTGTTTTTGCAGTAACCCGACGGGATATATTAATGTTTTGTGTTGTATGCATTAGAGGTCCCCACTAATTTTAAATGAATGGCCTAAAAAAGAGTCATCATCCAAAAATATTGCGGCCCATGTTACATAGCAAACATACAAATGTGACCCGAAGGAAAAAAAGTTGAGTATAACTGGTTTAAATTAAGTTTCTCCTTTCTTAGACAAGAATTTACCCACATTTTATGGCATTCGAAAATATCTTACATTATTACACTATGTCGTATTGTGGTTTTTGCAAGTCGCCACTGCACAGTCAGGCATTTTAAACATTAATTTAGTTCTTCTTTGTTATACACAGGAAAATATAATCACTACTAACATGAAAACAAATCAATTATTAAATTATTTTACACTTTACACTATTCAATCGGAAAATATCAGAATAACTTAAAGAGTCCGTCTCTCAAGTTATGATAACACTATCATAGGAAACACAAGTAGCAACAAGAACAGCAAGAACAAAATAAGGCCCCACCAAGATCTAGCGGCAACAAAACTAGTTCGTTGCCGGCATTTTCTAGCTTTAACATTTTAACTTGTATACAGTAAAGTCATAAAATAAAGTTCCGCTTTTTGTAATTTTTATTAGCGAACCTGACGCATATCGCCACCGCGCGGTTTGGACGAAATTTGAATCGAAAGTCAGCATACCGTTAGTCTGTGTATCGTGATGCTAAAGAAGTATTTAGTTATTCAAAATAAAAAAAAATGATTTAAAATACTGAAGGCAATTAATTTCATACATCACAATAATTATAATACTAAAATTGAAGAAAAAAACCTAATTTTAAATAGTATGATTTCTACCTATCTGCTTATTCATGAACAAATGATGACAAAATCGTGGCCTCAGTAGAATAGAAATAGTTTACTTTAAATTATGTAACTACTAAAATGTGCATTAAATAAACATAATAAACAATAATTAATTTCCTGGCTACATAGATAACCATCCCAGATATATTAACTATGTTGGAGCTATTCCTATCTTCTACGTTTTTTGTCATTTTACAAATTATCAATGAACACTGCCTTGGTACCAAGATTTGCCCGATCTACGCATCAATTTTAAGTACACTCCATTCTAGCAAGGTTCAAGAAGCCCTATCCCAAGAAAAGTTATTCTGCCGCCAATGTCAATGAAAATTTTAATATTTTTATTAGGTATATCCCAATGAATAAATTTCGATACGATAACTAAAAATAAAAATGATAAGTATGAAAAACTTAACGATTTATATTTATAGTATTGGAATTCCATAATGATACCTACGTTAAGTGTTTGGATTTGTATCAATTTTTGACAGTGTCACTTATTAACATGTCAAATGATTTTTTATTCTTATTTATTAATGCTGAAAAGGATTTCAAAAAATATTGTTTTTGATATGGAAAATATGAACAAAACTGTCAGATTTTCCAATGTAAAACAAATATATTAATACATCTTTGTAATAAAAAAATTTCACTTTTTACCATATATAATAATCTAACAACGCTTTCGGTACTTTGGAGTCTTAAAGTGGTAATGGGACGGAATCGACGGAATATATTGCTGTTGGGATCTCTCTGTTAACAAAATTGCAGGTCTCGTATATAACAGATGACTCGTAGATGACAAATGACAGGACTCTTAGATACTGGATGAAATGTTTCAGGAATTTAAAGAAAAGTATTTGGGGCACACAGATGGGATCTGCAAGAAATAGATTACATCCAAGGTGGGAACCATCTTTTTATAGAAACCACACTTCCAAAATTACTACTGGACTTTATTCATATTTCAAAAAATTTTCGATCAATTTTGCATCGGTAAAAAAGGATCCGGAACAAGAATGATAAAATTAGGTTTGTACTGTGACTAAAACTAAAAAAGATGAAGAACGGCTGAAGCACATAGTGTTATGTAATTGAATGTTTATAAAAGCATACGAACGATTCATGTATTAAACATATTACAGAGCTAGATCGTGTGAAGCATAAGAATTCATTCAATTTTTCAATATTGCACTAGATAAAAATGTATTTTAAACTCTTTATTATATCTCAGAAATATAATAAATAATAACCAGTTTGCAATACCTATTGAAATCTACAATAGCTTAAATCTGAAGATGGATTACCTACCAATCTCTTTAATTACAACAAAGCTACTAGATATTAAATTACTTTTTAAGAAGAGCAATTGGTCAATCTGAAATCGGATTAATATCAGATTATATGGATGAGATAAATGGGAAAAAGACATGCCAATGAGAAACATTCTCTCTTTATAATTTGCCTTCAT